TGATCAATCAGGCAGGACATTTTTTTTTTTTTTTGACAGTGTTAGATAAGAAGATTTTAAGAAAAAAAAAAAAAAAGGAAATGAAGGGGAAGGAAAACAGGAGGGGATACATGAGACAGCCCACTGAGAAGAGCAAGCTGCAGCTGTGCCAATTATCATTGGTTGACAGTGTCCTGAATCGTGTCACGCTTGCAGCAGGCGCAACAGCTTACTTTTGTATGGACTAGAAAGAATTCGGCAAACTCTCCAGCTAGGAGAACGTGAAACCGTATTTTTTTGCTCTAATTAAATGTCAAACAAAGAGTAAAAAAGCTTATATATTCAGGGTCCCATGACATACTTGTCAGAGAGCATTGGACTACATCCAGCAACCCAGTTCAAAACTTCAAATTTGGGTTGGATTTTTTAAAGAAAGAAAATTATTTTTAAAATAAGAATTTAACTATTTAATTTCAATGTCAATAAACACCCATGGATTTCTTTTTTTTTTTCTCAAAGTTGGACCTAGATGTATAAGTATCTTTGTGTGCATATAATTTTTAAATTTAGCAATATGATCCACTTTATGAGCTTTACATATGTAATTTTACCAAAAACAAAAATTATCATGAAAGAGGCATGCACCATTTTCTTTTTATTCCATTTGTCAAACTTGTTTTAGTTGGTGATAAAATTCAAAATTTGCATTAGTTTTATAGGCGTTGTAGTTTGTCTCGACAGGAGAGAGTAGTAATATTCAAACAAATTTAAAAACGATGAGGACTTTTTGTTTGCCTCAATTTCCGCTGAAACTTTGACTTCTGACACTTCTTATGAAACACACATGCAGAGCCAATTTTTGAGTATTTGAATCCACACACCAAAGATTTCAACCGATTTGGATATCTTATGGCCTTTTATTTTTTAAAAAAATTAAGATTAAAGATGTTTTTAGATTTTATTTTATCATAATTTATATTTTGAATCATTTTAAAAAAATATTTTTTTATTGATTTCCTGTTATAAATATTTTTTCTCCTTATATTGTAATATACCTATATATTTCATAAGATTAATTTAGTTTCAATTAAAATTAATAAATTTAGTAATTTATATATTTATTTTATATCTACTTATATTAAACACGTATAAAATATAAAATTATCATATTATAATTTATATTGACATACTTAATCAAAACATATTTTTAAAATATTTTTTTAAATTCACTTTTTTTTTCGTCAAATTTTTGACTCATATTATATATATATATATATATTATTTTGTGTTGTTTCATCATATCTTATCTAAAATTATAAGTCTACTTAAAAGAGAAAGAAAAATCTAAGCTACGATGGTAGATCCAAAATTTTTGTAAAAAAGATATCTACTTAAAATATATATATATATAACTATTCACAGATTTATTAATTTTGTGATGGAAAAGATGTCCAAAATAAATTTCTTTTATTCTTTTTATTTTTAGAGTATTCATAAAAAATTTTAAAATAATCAAAAAAATTACTTTAAATTTTTATTTTTTATTTTAATTTTAAAGATATCCATGGCATCCTCCCTGAAAAGCTAAATCCGCCCTGGACATGGTACTCTTTGTCCTGCTGAATTGCCAACCAATGAACCAAACCATTTCCTTCGAAATGATGATTAGGAAAATGTATATCCTACAATATTTTGGCCGTTAAAAGAATGATGATGCTATAGCTGGCACATGCTAAAGGAAAGGAGCCTCTACTTTAGGATCCCACGCCTCCTAACTTCTGCCCCTGCATCGCTTCTTACATTTGCTGGCCCTTTTTTTTTTTTTTAAAAAAATTATATTCTTTATTATTATTATCATTATTTATGAAAATTATCTTCTTTACTATTAAACCAAGATTTCATCAATTAAAATAAAAGATAATTAATTAAGCACATAGCTGTAATTAGAGGAAGTTCAGTTGAATTTAAGTTATAAATAAATTGATAACCAAAAATTGAAAAGGTAATAGAATTCAAATTCTATGCTGTTCAATTCTTAAAACATATTAAATCAATAGAAGTTATACATATATTCTATAATAATATTAAAAATTGTTTTCCTTCAAACTATGCTTTTATACTTTTAAAACATCATTTACCTATTTATTTATAATCAGTGAACTTTACTTAAATTGAATAAATTACGTATAATTAAAGTACTTGACATTAGTAATTGTTCTCATATATGTACTCAATTGAACATTATAATTATTACAATTCAAAAATTAATTTAAAGATTTTAGATTCAATGTGAGAATAAAAATTATAAATTTAATATTTAAATTCAATTAATTTGTATAATTATATTTAAAAAATACATATAATAAATCTTACAGTCTTTTTTTAAATTTAAATTACAATGCTTTTATTTTCTTTTTTTATTATCAATTATAAATTTTAATAAAAAATATTTTATAAATATTGTACAAAATTTAACGTGTCTTTATAAAAAAAATAATGCAATACTCAAGCAGGATCCATCCAAATTTATCCCCAATATATATAAAAATAAACATAAACAATATAGGAAATGATGCAATGGAATGAGAAATAAAAAAATGCCCAATGTCTGTTGCCTTTTTTTTCATTTTCTTAATAATTAAACAAACTTAGCTCCAATAATCTCCGGCTAAAATGAGCCTGCCAAGACCCCTTTATTCCACCATAATTAAAATCAATCACTTGTAAACTATTGCAACATGTCACCAACCAACTGCACATTCATTCAAACTGCCAGGATCACAACTTGGAGCTGCAACAATTACGGCTCAATTTTACATCCGTTAAACGGTTGAGAGCTTCACCATTTATGGCAACAGCCACGTCATGATCAGCTTATAGAACCCAAATCAGCAGCTCTGGGACTGTCTGATGAATCAGTGTTTTCTCTCAGCCTATGGACCATGTTCGTTTCAGAAGAGAGAGAGAGAGAGAGAGAGTCTCACTCTCACCATCCAAAGAAAAAACAAAGGAGACATATCTCAATAAGAAACCCCCACGCTCTTCGGAAGCGTGGATTCCACTTTCTTTAGCTGATGCGCTGATGCATAAAAGCGACGCTTTAAGACAAAATGGATACGGCCGGGACCCACATCACTCAAAATATTCACTCTCACATGGAGCAGAAGACCAATGCAGTAGGCCTGTACCTATCATGAAATTTCACAACCTCCACGCGCTTCCAACCGCTTTCAAGACAATAAAACAGGCAAAAAAAAGGGATAAAATACACATAAAGTCACTCAATTTTGGGAATTTTTTAAAATGATAATTTAAGCATTAATTTTTTCAATTTAATCCTTGAATAAATTTTTTTATCACTTAATTGGTAATGAATAATGGAGTGTTGATGTGATACTACCACTTCAATTAGCAAGTGCTACATCATTTGATAAGTCATGAGACATTATTAACATGATATTATAAAATAAATAAATTTTAGTAATTTATTTTTTCAAGAATTTTATGTTAATTAGTCAATTTGAAAAATTTATAACTTGATCACTAATAAATAAGCCCTTAAAATTTATAAAAATATAGAAACAAGTATTTGATATTTTTATTTTATTATAATTATATAACTTAAATTTAAAAAATAAAAAAATATTATCGACTTGCAAAAACTATTAAAATAATGTTACTTCAAATCTTTATCATTTAACTCATTTAAATAAATTCAACTAAATATTTTATATTTCATAATGTTAATATTTAATTTTAATTTCATGTAATAAAATATTAAAAAATATAAATAACAAAATAAAATAAATTATTATATTAAATTTCTCAATTTGTTAATGATTAAATTGTTATAAACTTACGTTGAGAGTGACATCCAAATATTAATGATTTCATAAACATTAATAATCAAAATGTAAAAAATTTAAAATAATTACTATAATTTATTTGGATTAATTGAATAACAAATATTTGAAATAATAATATTTTAGTAAATTTGAATATTGATTAATATTCTTCTATGTTTTTAATTTAAATTGTATAATTATAATAAAATAAAAGTTCATAATTTAATTTCATACAATAAAATAATTAATATTTATTTCTATTTTTATAAAATTCAATGATTTATTTGAGTATATCCTAATATATTTTAATAGGTAATATAAATAATAAAATAATTTATTATATTAAAATTTATAAACGTTGGTAATAAATTCATCATAAAATCACAATAACAATGAGTTATTAGCAGTGAAGATTAAAATATTAATAAATTTTATATTTATAATGTCAAGGTTTTTAATTATAATAAATTATATTATTTATATATTTTAAAAATATTTTATTACATAAAATTATAATTATAATTAATTATAATTTTTATTGTAATTAAAATATTGACATAAAGAAATATAAATTATTTAAATTATTTAATAAACTGAATCACAAAGATTTGAAGTAATGTTTTTTTAACAAATTTGATAATTGGATAATATTTATCTATTTTTCAATATAAACGATGTAATTACAATAAAATAAAAAATTTATATTGTAATTTCATGCAATAAAAATATCAATGCTTATTTCTATTTTTTACAAATAATTGAAGAATTATTTATTAGTAAACAAATTATAAATTTTTTAAGTTAAGTGATAAAATATAAATTTTTTAAAAAATAAGTGGTTAAAATTTATTTAATTTTTTAAAATTTATAATATCATGTTAATAATGCTATGATTGCAGTGTTATGTAGCACTTGACATCTAGCATATAATTAATCATTGATGGGTGAATAACAAAAAAAAAAAAATTAAAAATGAATAATTAAATTAAAAAAATGAATATTTAAGTCATGATTTTAAAAAACATTAAAATTAACTAACTATTTGTATATTAAAAAAAAAAACATTGTTTTTTCCACTTTACCAACAAAAAAGAAAAAATAGAAATAAAACGCTTTCCCACTATTGACAGCAAAGCCAGAGTTCCCCCTCTCTTCTTCTGTTTAACTCAGCTATATTTTTTCACTTTTATAACTTGGTGATATAGTAGAAAACCTCCCCCTTCTCTCTCTTTATTTTATGGGTTCTCACCGGAAAATCGTTTTTGGTTCTGTCCAAATCGGTTCTTACAAGCGGACGACAACATCAAAAACAGCCAGATAGAGGGAAATAGAACCAGTTTTTCCTCATTCTTTGTTGAGTTTCATTCTTCAACTATAATCCCACAATGGTAGTAAATTTTGGAGGTGTTTTTCTTCTTTCAGTTCTGATATTAAGTTTGGGAGTAAACTCAGAACCAGTTCAAGACAAGCAAGCTCTCCTTGCGTTCCTTTCAGAGATCAAACATGCGAACAGGGTTCAATGGAACTCATCAACCTCAGCCTGCGACTGGGTCGGTGTCGAATGCGATGCGAACCGCTCTTTTGTCTACACTCTCCGGCTCCCAGGTGTGGGTCTTGTCGGTTCTATTCCACCCAACACAATCGGTCGGTTAAATCAACTTCGAGTTTTAAGTATCCGAGCAAACCGTTTATCCGGTGAGATCCCTGCCGACTTCTCCAATTTGACTCTCCTCCGTAGCCTTTATTTGCAAGATAACGAGTTCACCGGCCCGTTCCCACCCAGTGTGACTCGTTTAGCTCGTTTGACACGGCTCGATCTTTCTTCTAACAATTTCACCGGTCCAATCCCTTTAGCTGTCAACAATTTGACTCTTTTGACCAGACTCTTCTTGCAGAACAACAAATTTTCCGGTTCTCTTCCGCGCATCAACTCCGACGGTTTAGTTGATTTTAATGTTTCTAATAACAACCTTAACGGTTCAGTTCCCGACACGTTATCTAAATACCCTGAATCTTCATTCGCCGGAAACCTTGGTCTTTGTGGAGGCCCACTCCCGCCCTGTAACCCGTTTATCCATCCTCCGGCCCTGTCTCCTTCCGAGCCCATTCCTCCCACAACTTCTGGTAAAAAGTCCAAAAAGCTTTCCACTGGAGCCATTATTGCCATTGCCGTGGGGTCCGCATTCGTCGCGTTATTGTTATTTCTATTCCTCATTCTTTGCCTCCGTAAACGTCAACAGCGGCCACCGAAACGTCAGAAGCCAGTTACGGCGGCGACACGGGTTGTTCTGCCGGCGGAGGAGGGAACGTCCTCGTCGAAAGACGATATAACTGGAGGGTCAACCGAAGGGGAAAGGAATAAGCTGGTGTTCTTCGAAGGTGGGGTTTATAGTTTCGATTTGGAGGATTTGTTGAGGGCTTCAGCGGAAGTGCTGGGAAAAGGCAGTGTCGGAACGTCGTACAAGGCTGTGTTAGAAGAAGGGACAACGGTGGTAGTTAAACGGTTAAAAGACGTGGCGGTTAGTAAACGAGAGTTCGAAACGCAGATGGAAATGTTGGGTAAAATTAAGCATGAAAATGTGGTTCCTTTAAGAGCGTTTTATTACTCCAAAGATGAGAAATTGCTCGTCTCTGATTTCATGCCTGATGGTAGCTTATCTGCCCTGCTTCACGGTAAGTTTTCTCTGTTTCATTTCATCATTTCTTTATTTGACTTTTTCCGGGTTTTTCATTACCAACAACTCATGCAAATTTTGGCTTAAAAAATCAAACACTTTTTTGCTTTCGATATAACCTAACAAATCAATTCAATTTTGACTTTAATGTAGCTCCAGCTGTTGCATTTGTGTGGAATATTGTGAAATGGTGTTGGGGATAATATATTATGTTAATTTAATAATGGAAGGGTGCTTAATCATGTAAGAAAATTTCAGAAGGTTTCCAATTTTAATAACCAGCGGAAGGTCCGTGGATGGACACTTTTGCATGATTCCTCCACTTTCTTAGCAAACATTCTTACGAGTCTGAGTTACGCTTACAAAGTAATGGCTCCTTTTTCTATTTATTTACATTTCTGCCACCAGCATTGCAACATGCGTTTCATGGTTCACCTATGGATCCACCGACATTGAATTATTGCCCCCTGTTCTTTCACCAGATTTGCCCTGCAACCGTGAAATTATACTATATATATCTATCTTGTTTCATGAGGTTCCAGATGAGTTAAATTGAGTGTTGCACGCCTACTATGAAATGATTACTCTTTTTCATCAACACTCTCTTGTGGCTTTTGTTTAATACACTTTTTTTAGTAGTTTCCTTTCCTTTCAATTCAAGGAACCCCCGTTGAATAAGATTAGGGTTAGGGTTTTTAAGTTTGCTTTTAACTGGAATACATTTGGAGCAATGGAGGTCAAATTAGCATAATGGGAAGTATATCTGCTTACTAATCAAATTTCTTGGTAGCTTGGACTTTTTTGCAAATTTTTTGGCATAATACTAGTATCTGTTTCTAAAGGTTAGGGACAATAATGACATGATAAATTGTGTAGGTGTGGTCAACAATCGCATGATGATAGATTCTTGATTTTTTAATTTCATTGATTATGATTCAATCCTGGTAGTTTTATTTAAAAAAAATTTATTCTGTAGCTGTAGCTCATTGGCCATTAGGTACATTTTGGATAATCATGAAAACTGAAGTCTCAACTCTGAAGTGAGCAAATTACTGTTCTTTATGGTAATGAATTGAACCGTGTTATGCTATAACATTGCAGGTAGCAGAGGCTCAGGCCGTTCTCCACTGGACTGGGATCACCGGATGAGAGTAGCATTAAGCACGGCAAGGGGCCTAGCACACCTCCATGTTTCAGGCAAGGTGGTCCATGGCAACATCAAGTCCTCCAACATCCTCCTCCGACCAGACCATGAAGCCTGCATCACTGACTTCGGTCTCAACCCGCTCTTTGGCAACACCACCCCGCCTATCCGTGTTGCAGGCTACCGAGCACCTGAAGTGCTTGAAACCCGCAAAGTTACGTTCAAGTCTGATGTGTATAGCTTTGGAGTGTTATTGCTAGAATTATTAACTGGCAAAGCACCCAATCAAGCATCGTTAGGGGAAGAGGGGATTGATCTTCCTCGTTGGGTCCAATCCGTGGTTCGCGAGGAATGGACTGCTGAGGTTTTCGACGTGGAGTTAATGAGATATCACAACATTGAGGAGGAAATGGTGCAGCTGTTACAAATTGCAATGACTTGCGTATCCACCGTACCTGATCAAAGACCCGCCATGCAGGAAGTGGTACGTATGATTGAAGATATAAATAGAGGGGAAACAGATGACGGAATACGTCAGTCGTCTGATGATCCTTCAAAAGGATCTGACGGTCACACTCCCCCCGCCGAATCAAGAACCCCACCTAGATCCGCCACACCTTAGCATAATGTGAACAAAGAAAGTAAAAGAAAATTGAAAAAGCAAAAAGACAATGTGCACAAAGAGAAAGTAAAAGAGTGATAAAGTGCGCAATTGATGGGGGAAATAACTGAGGTTTGCCCCCAAATTTGTGTTTTTCTTTTTTTTTTTTTCTTTTTGTTGGGTTTATTTTTTTCTTCTTAATTTTGCTTTGCAATTATTTTTATAGGTTGGTTAGGGGGGGGGGGGGGGAGAATTTGAATTGTTTTTTGGAGCGTGGTGGGAAGTAGGGGGAGTTCCATGAACTGATTGAAATTTGACCATTTGATGGATTTAGTTGTCTTTATAATAATTATTATTATTTATATTTAATTCTTTCCTTTGTAATCTCAACCTCGTAAACAAAACAATCCACCTGTATTCTGTCCTTAAAGCCGTCTTCATCGCTTTTCCATTATAAATTTTCTATTTTGTAATAATTTTTTTAATCCTCTTTATTGGAATGGCCAAGGCCCAAGTGAAGCCAACTAACGAGTTGAAAATTTCTCATCCAAAAATTCCGGCCACTTGTTCGGTTCTGCATGCATCTGTAATACCAAACGCTTGCTTCCATTTTTTCTAAATGTTCTTAATTTAGAGTTGAAATGGCAAAAGGGTTGACTACTGTCCAAAGCAGAAATAAAACATGCATACGACCCAATCTAATTAGAAGCATACTTAAGAATGGAATCAACACCGTCAAAGGCGAAATCAAAGGCCCAAATGTGACACGTGGCGGATGAGATTAGGGTCAAATTGGAGATTTGATTTTTCGCCGGGGAGAATTTTTGTCTGTTTATAGAGCCAGAGAAAAAGAAACAAGCTAGCTAGGGTGGTGGACAGGCTGGCCGGCTTTCCTTTGTTCTAGACAAAAGGAAAAACAAAATAGTGGGATTTCCATTTTCCAAAAAAAAATAATAATAATAATAGTGGGATTTCCTTCTGACAATCGTCGAACATTGTCTTTGACGTGGCTAGACTGGTAACCGTTGATTCATTTGACTCAACACCACTGACTCTCGGGTCCCTTTGGTCTTTTCACTCTTTTCTCTCATCGCATGCAATTTCGTCCTTGTATTCCACTCGAACCGTGAAAGTTAGCAGGCAATTGGTCAAAATAGCTATGGGATTTGGCTCTTTTGGGGTTTGAAAAATCAACGCATCGAAATTTGCCTTTCAATGAAGTTTTTGGCTTTATGCATAATGCATGTAATGTATCATTCGCCTTTTTTAGGCTCGCGTGGAACTGTGCATGTAATTACAAGTTCTTTTGTCGTCCAGCGAGAACATTGGGCCACCCACAGTTTCTAGTGGAAACAATCCCCACTCGTATTCTACTATCTGATCCGAAGGTACACATAACGCGCCACCTGTTGCGGTTGCCTTTCGGAGTTTGGTGCACCGAAAGTGCAAGCCAGCAAGACTTTTGGTCGGACTCAAAATTGACTCTCTGGTTTTTTACTCTTTAGTCTGTGAAATAGTTATATGCCTTTGCATTTGCTTTGGCCCCATTGCACCTGTTATTTTAGCACTGGCAACCAAAGAGTTTGACCCAATCTTTGATTAGTCTTAATAAACCATGAATGAGGCTGTCTTTTCAAGCCAAACTGGAAATTCCACAACAGAAGACAATGAGATTAATCAAGAACAACACCACCCGTTCATGTGGGGTCATGTGTTTTTAAGTCTAGCTTCTTCTCATTACATTTCCTTTACTTATCACTTCACTTTTTCGATCAGTTCTGAGTTTTGATAGAGATCGACAGAAAATTCTTCAAGTTCAAAGTTCTTTAGAGTAGATTTTGAGATCATCAATTATAAAAACAATTAATGATTTTAGCGACAGATCATTTGCAAAAGATGCAAGGCCAGATGGATGAATATACATGTCAAATTTGAAGTCCCAATGTTTTTCCTAATAATTCCTATGCTGGTAATAAAAAATGTCCCACTTATAATCAACAAAATCACTCTCACATCAACTCTTCAGATGCAGGGGAGAAGAATCATGGAAAAAAACATGATTATCATAAAGATTGTTGGGAATGATTGGTGACACTGAGGGATGCTAGAACCATTTGGATGAATGAAAAGGAAAGCACCTTAGCCCCAATATTGGCAGCTTACATCAATTATTTTGCGGTCCCTTGATTCAAATAAAGATACCCTTAACCGATCTCAAAGTTAAACCTGCAAAACCAAATTCGTCTCACACTCTCACTTCTGGAGTTTTATCTGATAGTGAAAAGTTGACCTGAAACAAAATGGGAATATTGTATATGTTTTTAAGTTTTCATAATGGGTTGATTTTTGTCATAAAGAAGAAATAAACATTAGAGAGAATCAGAGAAATCGCCAAATTTTTTTGTGCATTGGATTCTTCATTCTTCAATGCAGATTTACAACAACAGGGGTAATTTGTTCCATTTATTCCACTACACCTCACATAATTATCTTACCATGATGAGTATCCAGTTGACCCAATCTTTTCTTTTCTTTTTTTGGCCCACAAACGCAGTTCACCTAAACTTTACCCTATTCATGATGTCCCTTTATGGTCCTTTAAGGTGTCTTTAACTTGGCTAAGTCGACAGGTCTTGATCTTAATTTAACAACATAATGTAAGGCACATTTCACATTCATGTTTTCTTGCATATATCTCTTATCTTCATTTACTCTAATGATAATCCAATAGGTCTAGAGTTTGAATTCCAGCACCTGCAATCCAATTTTTATATCTAGGCTGCAGCCTCCTTTGAAAAAGAAAATTGCCAAATTGTTTAAAGGGTTCATTGAGCTGGTCTTTGCTACTCATCAACCAAAAAGGGAAAATATATAGATAACAGACAGGATTTTGGAGTTTGGTTAATGTAATGCAGATGATTATCTTAAACCCCAAGCCAAGCAGTTTCTTGCCTTCTAAGTTCATCTTTGAACCCATATCAGCTATTATAAACTTCACATAAGTTGCAGAGTAGTTCCCTCAAATGGAAAATCTTAAGTCACAAGTGCACAAAGCCATCCTTTGAAAGTGGAATTGGCTAAGCCATTTAACTTATGTGGCGTTCCACTCATAATCATCTCTAAAATGGAATTTAAATCCCAATACTCCATTTTGCTGTTAGTTGGATCAGCGGAGATGACTTTAACTCTCAAGGTTCCTTCCTTAGCCCTCATTTATTCTCACAAATCTCATTCATTAGACAACCAAAGCACCCATTGAAACCTCACCAACCTGAGCAGCCTCCTATTGGATGTCATCGATGCTAATTCATTTAAATCACATCAAAAGTAATAGATTGTACTCAATTAATTAGGAAGGTGGTTGCAGAACAATCTAATTCCTAATAACTAGTTAATATAATCTATAATCTCATGATACATATTCTTCGAGTCCAAAATTTTAATGATATACTGTTATTTTCTTTATGAAACATAATTAGCTTTACTTTGATGTGATGCCTTGCGAAAACAACTTCTCTTTGAATGGTAGTTATCAACCTTTGTGAACTTCGCTTGTGGACTTTGATGTGATGCCTTGTGGACTTCACTTGTCCATGAAACAGAGGGCACTGCCATTGCTTGGTGGCGGTGGTTGCTGTAGCAAAAGCCTTTTTCTTACATATGCTATCTCACCATCATGGGAGACTGCAGGCCCGGGAAAAAGGGTTAAGCTTGGGTTATAGGCGCCTAGGGTTCTTGCCTGCTAAAAAATGAATTTGTATGAAGAAGTTGGTGTCAGTAATTTTAATTACAGAGTCAAAATAATGTCCATTAATAACATACAGCTCAAATAATAGCCCTAAACCATTGAACTTATTCGTCTTGATGATTTTTATTGAATTTTGGATCTTTTTTGATTGAGCTGTTTGAAGCTGAGCATGCTCCTCTTCATGAAGAACGCTCACAACCACAGGATGATTGGTCCCTCAGCCATTGTCTTGCATAGGATATTATATTTCTGCACATGTGATGTGATCTGTAGAAAAATAAAACCAAAGGAAGCTAAATATGCCCATTGCCCAAAAAGAATAAAAACCCTAAATTACCCCTTAATTGGGGTGGTATATTAGTATTATTAAGCCTATATTTGAATGCAACTGCACTCCTAATGAAGTACAGTTAAACTTCGGTCATTATTAATTAAATTTAAATATTAATTTTAATAAAATTTATTTAATATAAATTTTTTATTAAAATTTTTTTTCGATTATAATTATAATAATAATAATAATTTTTTTTAACCTCATCGAAATTAACCTTATCTCCGTCCAAATAGACCTAAAGAAGATTTATTTCTCTATACCGAGCAGAATTAGGCTCTGCCATAAGCTTTAATTGAGCTTTTCGGCCGTACGTGTACTGACTATATATAGATTAATCAGACTACTCTTTGACATGGGCCTTTTACCGAATTCCTTGACACCAGACAGGGCCAATAGCCGATTGCCAATGCCTACTTCTTTGTTTAATTTGTCAGCAAGTAGGCCACAGCCCACAGGCCATGGCTAACTTTTGCCGGAAGACATTGGTTCGATGTATTCGATAATATCGCGTTCTTAATGATCATTGGTTCGCTATGTGTTATCCCATTTGACAAATAGATGATTGCATGTGAAAATCATATTTAAAATGTTTATACCACATATATATATATATATGCTTCTGTTTATCAAATAAATGTTAAATTCAGTGTTTACCGCCAAATCCAATACATCGTGAAGGCTGAAAATTTCTTCGAATCGAATCCAATTCTATTCTTCATTAATTTTTTTACGATGTGAATAGATTAAAAAGCTTTCTTAAATAAAAATTTATTATTTGTAATTATTGTTTTATAATCAATCGATTATAATTTAAAATTATGTAAAATTCAAAAATTATTATGCAAAAAGCACACTTACAAATAATAAATTTTTACATAATTTTTTTTATTGAAATTGAATAGTTACAATAAAAAAATATTGGTGAAATGCTTCCTTCTCAAATAACTGTAAACATATTTAAACTTAGGATGGCAGGAAAGAAATTCAAGAAAGGAAATAAGGTGTTAGCCTATAGGAGAGCTTGATTGACTAAAATACTATTGGATGATATAAGAATAAAACTGCTGAATTGAAAGCATCCTATTAGATAATTTTTGGT